ATTAAGCAATACAAGCCCGCTATCATGTGTTTACAGGAAACACTCGTCTAAAAACACCTCATCTCTCCCCCACCATCAATATAAGGTCCAATTTCACTCCACACACTCTATCTTCCCGCGGGGTGTTAGTATTCTGGTAGATAACACTATACCTTTTTGATTTTCTTCAAGCTACGATTGATGATGATGATGATGGGAGATTTATCTTTTTGTAAATTGACAGGAATGCTTTGTATTATTGCCGCATTATGTATTCCTCCACCCTTATCTCTGGAAGTCCTGAAACAATTTGCACATTTTCTCCCTAGACACCATGACATTCCAGTTTGGGTGCTGGGAGATTCCAATAATTGTTTGGCTTTACACAACACCTGGATAAGCTCTCCTTTCGGTCAGACTGACCAACATTGTCTAGGGCACCCACCCCCCTTTTGACTGAATTAATATTAATATGAGTTGTTGGTTGAGAGTATACAATGGTAATCCATTTAACCGGCTCCCGCCCGCCATATAAGGAAAGGACTGGAGCAACGTGGTTCTCTCGTTCTGGGAGGACGTCATATGATGTCCTCCAACTCTAACCGCTCGTGTGGAAAGAGCCTAAGACGTCTGCTCGGTCATGTGATCAGCTTTGTCCAATCACAGCTGATCGCATGTAAATAAGGAAATGCCGGTTATCGGCATTTCTCTCCTCACGAGCTGTCACGCTGACAGCTCGAGAGGAGAGGAGAGGCGAAAATCGGAATTCCTCGGAAGGGACATGTACACTGATCATCAGTGCACTGATGATCAGCGTAGCCCCAGCAGTGCCACCTGTCAGTGCTCATCAATGCCACCTGGCAGTGCCCATTAATGCCACATATCAGTGCCTATCAGTGCACATCAATGCCACATATCAGTGCCCATCTGAACTGCCAATCAGTGCCGCCTATCAGTGCGCATCAGTGTCCGTCAGTGCTGCCTATCAGTGCCCATCAGTGATGCCCATCAGTGCAGCCTATCAGTGCCCATCACTGCAGCCCCATTAGCGCACATCAGTGAAGGATAATAATCACTTATTTACAAAATGTTATAACAAAAACTAAGAAAAACTTTTTTTTTTTCAAAACTTTCAGTTGTTTTTGGTTTGTTTAACAAAAAATAAAAACACCAGAGGTGATTAAATACCACCAAAAGAAAGCTGTATCTGTCTCAAAAAAATGCTAAAAAAATTTAATATGAGTACAGTGTTGTCATTCAAAGTATGACAGCGCTGAATGCTGAAAATTGGCCTGGCAGGAATGGGATATAAGTGCCCTGTAGGCAAGTGGTTAATGAAATGAACCAAAGCCAAATTTTCCCCAAACCTTCGTCATATAAGGCCATTCTACACAATCAAAGGCTTTGTGGCTATCTTATTAAGTGGTCTTGCATGGCACATATATATTCTTATTTTTATAGCCAAATTTACCACCCTAACTCCTCCCACAATTTTTTACACTACATAGACAGTAATATACCGAAACGTGCGGATTGTTCCCGATTGGTGTGCTATTACTTTGTGGAACGTTTCGCCGAATGGTTCACAAAATATCGGCGTTTTGTGGTGAAATTGGTCCCATAGGAATGAATGGCGGAATGTTTAAAACTAGAGTGGGAGCTGACAAAAGCTAGAGTGTGAGCTGAAAAATCAGGACATGATTTCTAAACTGCCATCACTCCCTCATTTTCAAGCCCACCTACACAAATCATATATCAAAACGTTCAGCTATCCCTGCTGCCACTAAAAAATGTCCACTGCTAAGCCATAGTCCTGATAGTTTTCACAATATGACCATTTGTTTGCAACTCGCCGCCCATTGACATTCATTAAAACTCCACTCTAACCACCTCAAATTTGAAGGGTAATATCTAAACTGCGACTGTGCCTTCATTTTTAATATTTCAGAGACATACTATGCATCAAAATATAGGTCTGGGTCTTGTGATTCTCACAATATAAAGCTCTTCGCTGTAGGATTTATAGTTTTTAAAACTACGACCATTTGAAGACTCCCAGTGAAGTGAGCAATTTGGAGCAGTTTGTTTTTAACCGCTCTTCTCTGCCCTATTTGAAATCTAATTTTGAATTCGTGACAGTTTGGCTGGCTTCTGGTTAAAGGTTTGGAAATAAGTTTTCTACAGTAGAGAGTATTTGAGGTGATAATGCTGCTAATGTTTTTATAAATGTATGTTTTAATGTAACTGTGAAGCACTTTGGGCAACAACATTGCAATTAAATGTGCTATATAAATAATTAAAAGTTGAAATGCATTTCTCACTCTATCAAGCTTGCCATGTGCACTTTTTAAATTTGATCAATCAATTGGTTAGTGTAATGTTTACATCTTTACTCACTCCAAACACTCCACACAGTTACTCTGCTCACTCCATAAAGTTACTCTGCCCAGTCCAACCTTTTCACAGTTACTCCAGCCACTCCAACACACACAATAGTTACTCAAGCCACTCCACCCAGTTACTCCGCCCACTCCAGTTGTAGACTACTGGTGGAGGCAAGAACACTTCACACAATTTCCCCAGAAATTGTAGCTTTTCTAGTTATTATTATTATTATTATACAGGACTTATATAGCACCGACAGTTTGCTCAGCGCTTTACATTATGGAGGGAGACAGTACAGTAACAATACAGTTCAATACAAGAGGGATTAGAGGGCCCTGCTCCCTGGAGCTTACAATCTAGGAGGGAGGGGATAGTGGTACAAGAGGTAATTAGCTGTGGGGGATAGAGTGGTTGGGAGAGTAGGGGATTCCAGTAGTTATCCAGGGTCGGGGTAGGCTTCCCTGAAGAGATGGGTTTTCAGAGTGCGCCTAAAGGTGAGCAGAGTAGGCGATAGCCTGATAGCTTTGGGTAGGGAGTTCCAGAGGATGGTGAAGCCTGTGAGAAATCCTGGAGACGAGCATGGGAGGAGGAGACAAGGGAGCTAGAGAATAGGAGGTCTTGCGAGGAGTGGAGAGTACGGTTTGGGTGGTATTTAGAGACAAGGTCGGTGATGTATTTAGGGGAAGTGTTATGAACGGCTTTAGACGTCAGTGTTAGTGTTTTGAATTTTATCCCCAGGGCAATTGGAAGCCAGTGGAGGGATTGGCAGAGAGGGGTGGCAGATACAGAGCGGTTAGTAAGGTGAATGAGTCTGGCAGCAGCATTCATGATAGACTGGAGTGGGTATAGCCTGCGATGAGGTAGGCCAGTGAGGATGAAGTTACAGTAGTCAAAGGCGTGATATAATAAGGGAGTGGATGAGTTGCTTAGTGGTTTCCGAGGTTAGGAACTTGGAGATGTTGCGGAGGTGAAGTCTACATGAGTTTGTCTGCGATTGGACCTGGGGCTGAAAGGACAGACTGGAGTCTAGGATTACACCTAGTACCCTGGCGTGAGGGGTGGGACTGATGGTAGTGTTGTTGATCTTGATGGAGAAGTCGGGGGGGGGGGGGGGCACTGGTTGGGGGGAATACTAGAAGCTCAGTTTGGAAAGGTTGAGTTTGAGGAAGTGGAGTGACATCCAGTCCGATATGTCACTTAGTAGGCTGGTGATGCGATTGGAGACTGAAGGGGTGAGGTGAGGGGTAGAGAGATAGATTTGTGTGTCGTCGGCATAGAGATGGTAGTTGAAGCCGTGGGAATTTATCAGTTGTCCAAGGGAGGGGGTGTAGATGGAGAAGAGGAGGGGTCCGAGGACAGAGCCTTGGGGGACCCCGACAGAGAGAGGGGAGTGAAGGGGAGGTGGCAGCGTTATAGGTAACACTGAAGGAGCGCTGTGATAGGGGAACTAGGAGAGAGCAGAGTCTCTGAGGCCAAGAGAGTGCAGTTTTTTTTGAGGAGTAGGGGGTGGTCAACCGTGTCAAAAGCCGCAGAGAGGTCAAGTAGTAAGAGTATAGTATAGTGGCCGTTGGTTTTGGCGGTTAGTAGGTCATTGGTGAGTTTGAGTAGGACAGTTTCGGTGGAGTGTAGGGGGCGGAAGCTGGACTGTAAAGGGTCAAGAAGGTTGTTGTCGGCGAGGTGGGAGCTCAGGCGATTGTAGACTAAGCGTTCTAGCAGTTTAGAGGTAAATGGCAGTAGGGAGATGGGTCTTAGGTTGTTCAGGTCGGAGGGGTCCAGGGAGGGTTTCCTAAGTATGGGAGTGATGTGCGCGTGCTTTAGAGGGGAGGGGAAGGTACCGGTGGAGAGGGAAAGATTGAAGATGTGAGTGAGGGAGCATATGATGGAAGAGGAGGGGGACCGCAGGAGTTTTGAGAGGACAGGGGGCAGGTGGTGAGGCTGGCTTTGGAGAAAATCTTAGTGACCTCTTCGGTGGTAGTGAGGTCAAGGGAGCAAAGTGTTGAGGGGTTTATTGTGTGAGGAGTGCTAAGTGGGATGGGTGTCTGAGCAGTGGCGAAGTCCCTACGAATTGCGTCAATCTTGTTTTTGAAGTGGTTGGCAATCTCATGGGCGGTAAGTGAGATACTGGGCGGAGGTGGAGGCGGAGAAAGCAGCTTTAGGGGAGGTTTGTAAACTGGTGAAAAGTCTGTTAATGTTAATATACGTGGACCTGTAAGGGATAAAACCTGTTTGCTCTGAGTTTATCAGGTCAGATATGACATTACCACATTTTTTCGCTCCACAAGACACACTTTTTTCCCCAAAAAATATGGGGGGAAATGTCTGTGCGTCTTATGGAGTGAATATTGACCAGGACCTCCCAACCCCACCCCCCGTTGCCAGCCGTGTGTTGGAATACCGGGCTAGCCAGCAAGGAGGGGGTGGGGCCAGGGCCAGAAGCTCCACTGACCACTCCCCATGCAGCCTGTATGCTCGAGAGGGAACTGCTGTAGTAGAAGTTATTATGTGAGTGGGAGCCCCCGCCCCGGACCTCAGAGAGGATGCTGAGCATGGCTGGCCAGGTAAGTCACCCCCCCCCCCCCCCCCCCAATAGACTGCCTGTGGACTGTTATACCAAACACCGAGCTGTTTTTCACAAACTGTACATCTGTGCATTGCTGAAAGAACTCTGTTCACCCCCCTGTAAATATGTCTGCAGTCTCTGGTCATCTCCTGTACTGTGTCCGCAGTCTCTGGTCATCTCCTGTACTGTGTCCGCAGTCTCCGGTCATCACCCTGTACTGTGTCCGCAGTCTCTGGTCATCTCCTGTACTGTGTCCGCAGTCTCCGGTCATCTCCTATACTGTGTCCGCAGTCTCTGGTCATCTCCTGTAGTATGGTCATCTCCTGCAGGTCTCTCTGGTCAGTCTCTGGTCATCTCCTGTAGTATGTCCGCAGTCTCTGGTCATCTCCTGTAGTATGTCCGCAGTCTCTGGTCATCTCCCGTAATATGTCCGCCGTCTCTGGTCATCTCCCGTACTATGTCGCCGTCTCTGGTCATCTCCCGTAATATGTCTGCCGTCTCTGGTCATCTCCCGTACTATGTCTGCCGTCTCTGGTCATCTCCTGTACTATGTCTGCCGCCTCTGGTCATCTCCCGTTCTATGTCTGCCGTCTCTGGTCATCTCCCGTTCTATATCTGCAGTCTCTGGTCATCTCCCGTACTGTGTCTGCTGTCTCTGGTCATCTCCCATACGATGTCTGCAGTCTCTGGTCATCTCCTGTACTATGTCTGTAGTTTTGGTTCAGAATATTTTTTTTTCTTGTTTTCCTCCTCTAAAACCTAGGTGCGTCTTATAGTCAGGTGTGTCTTATGCAGCGAAAAATATGGTATTTAGCCTATGTGGAAGGATCTTGGCCAAGACCATGACGTTCATATTGTTCAGCAAGACTCGACAATAAGATTTGCACTATAAAGATGGTCTTTGGTTATGGGATAAGGACAATTGGTGCTTCCCACATTCACGGTGGGAGCAATCCCTGCTTTTGTATCACAGTACAAAGTTACAGGAGGAAGGGGACCTGCCTATCCTCCTTTTAATGTAGGTACGATTCAAATGGATGGCCAACCAGACCCAATAATAGGCAAAACTTTATTTTTTTTTATTTACAAGGGATCAGAAACTGTCCGGTTTTTAGTGTTGCCTGTGTCCCCATTGGGGAGATTCACCCTCTCTATATGTCTTTTTTACTGTTATCACCAAAAGCAAAATTAAAGGATCCTAAACTGTGGGTTTTTACCAAATCAGGGATAGAGGGGAAATCTGCCAATGGGGACACTAGTTCTGGTGACAACCAGGGATTTCCTCACTTTGGAGGAATTTCCCCTCAATTCCTGTTTTGGCTATGGAACAGGAAGTGAAGGGAAATCTCCCCAATGGGACACAGATAGCAAAAAAAAAAAAAAAAACCTGACAGAAGTCATAACCTTCATGTACTCTTATCTAAATTTTAAAAACATGTTTGCCTTTAGTTCTACTTTATAACACTCATGTACTCAATCTAAAATGAAAAAAAAAATGTTTGCCTTTACTTCTACTTTATGGTTTAGATTTACTTAAACCACCTTGTATATTTCACGTTTTATTGTTTGAGGACCAATGTCGTATGTAGTTGTGTTGGATATTTTTCTTACAGCAGATGAAGATTGCTCTCAGGAGTGCCTATCTGTATTGTCTATTGGAAATTCCACTTTTGGTGAAAGCAACGCTACCCAAATTCTCTCTCAGAGCTCTTATTTTATAGGGCATTCACATGGAATTTTCAGAACTCATTTAGAAGTGAAGGTCAATTAGGGATTTTTATTTCTAATGCATTTACTTTGGACTAGTGCAGTACTACTTATAACCACTAGATGGGAGTAGAGAAATTACAAACAAAGCAGTGCCTTAAAGGAGCTGTACTGTATACTCAGCACCTGTCATCAAAGATTACCTGATTTGAGCCAATATAATTAACACTGCTTACCTGTAAAGCTTTCACCTTTTATATACTAAAATACTGATGACATCTTTATCAACGAGCTTTAGAAACAGGGCAGTCTACCTAATGCAAAGGGAGAGACACTGAGTTTAGTAACTCTTAAACAGGTTAAACTGGAGTCGGGCTTTAATCTGTCTTGATTTCTGCCTTCTGTAATCTCTGTACAGCAACATACTATAATAAGAAGTGTCAGCACTCTAGCTGGGTATACATGTTCAGTTTTTTTTTTCTTTCAACCAGCAGGTTCAATGAAAAAAAATGGACACATCCCGGCATCAACACAAACGATGTGTGATGCAGGGATCTCTCCCACTGAGCTATTGTATAGGGATCCCCCTCATCAGAGTGCACTGATCAGAGCTGCAGCCATTGGCTGAAAGCACTGATTGAATGCTAGTTTTCCAGCATTCAGCAGAAGCCAGTTGTTGCAGAAAACATCTGTAAAAGCAAGAACCATACTAACAGGAGAAGAGAGCTGACCTCATTTTTCTGCTGTGCTCCCTTATCCCTTCACAGATTGAGGGCAGAACGGTTTTGCTTTAACACAGAAGAGAAAATTAAAGTGGTTATAAACCCTTATCTATGCCCAGTGAAGTGACTAGCCTTCGGTGTTATACAGAGATGAAACAAATCTTCTTACATAAGTTGTACCTTCCTCAAACCTATTTTTCATTGTCCCGTGATCTAGTTGTAATGCTCATATGCCCATTGTATTCGCTTTTGGCTGTGGACATGGTCAGCATGGGTACCCTGATCGGCCTGCAGCTAAGCAGCCACATACACAACAAATTGTAATGCACTGTGCGTTCTGACACCTTTCTATCAGAACCAACATTAACCTGTTCATCAGTTGCCCACTTTTTCTGCTTTCAACACATCAGCTTCAGGGACAACATGTTCACTTGCTTGTAGTGGTGCTCCGAAATGAAAATTCTGGATCGAAACAGAAAATTCTTGGCTGAAAACTGAAACCAAAATGGACAGTTAAAAATTGTATTTATTTATGTATGTATATATATATATATATATATATATATATATATATATATATAATATAATATTATAATATAATCTATGTGTGTGTGTGTATGTATTTCAACGTTTTAATTAAGTGTTCTTGCATGGCAAGACCACTTACTGTTATCTCACATATATATATATATTTTCCTATTATAGGCAAATTTACCACCCTAACTCCTCCCGCAGTTTTTACACTACATAGACAGTAATATACCGAAACGTGCGGCTTGTTCCCGATTGGTGTGCTATTACTTTGTGGAACATTTAGCCGAATGGTTCACGAAATATCGCCGTTTTTGTGGTGACATTGTTCCCATAGGAGTGAATGGCGGAATGTCCAAAACTAGAGTGTGAGCTGAAAAATCAGGACATGATTTCTAAACTGCCATCACTCCCTCATTTTCAAGCTCACCTACATAAATCGTATATCAAAATGTTCAGCTATCCCTGCTGCCACTAAAAATGTCCACGGCTAAGCCATAGTCCTGATAGTTTTCACAATATGACCATTTGTTTGCAACTCACGCCGCCCATTGACATTCATTGAAACTCCACTCTAGCCACCTCAAATTTGAAGGGCAATTTCTAAACTGCGACTGTGCCTTCATTTTTAATCTTTCAGAGACATATTATGCATCAAAATGTAGGTCTGGGTCTTGTGATTCTCAAAATATAAAGCTCTTCTGTGTAGGATTTTTAGTTTATATTTTTAAACTACAACCGTTTGAAGATGGCAACCGCCAGTGAAGTGAGCAAGTTGGAGCAGTTTGTTTTTAACCGCTCTGCCCTTGCTGTAGAGTGAGTTGCCATAGGAACCCAGGTGTGTGAGCAGGCAGCAGAGTGACAAAAGCTAGAGTGTGAGCTGAAAAATAAAAGTTGAAATGCATTTCTCACTCTATCAAGCTTGCCATGTGCACTTTTTAAATTTGATCAATCAATTGGTTAGTGTAATGTTTACTATCTTTACTCACTCCAAACACTCCACACAGTTACTCTGCCCACTCCATAAAGTTACTCTGTCAAGTCCAACCTTTTCACAGTTACTCCAGCCACTCCAACCACACAATAGTTACTTAAGCCACACCTCCAGTTACTCCGCCCACTCCAGATGTAGACTACTGGTGGAGGAAAGAACACTTCACACAATTTCCCCAGAAATTGTAGCTTTTCTAGTTATTATTAATTTAAATGAATATACATTTTTAAAAAATACAATCCAGTAATGTAAAATAAATTTTAGTGCCGGTTTACATACACTATATTGCCAAACGTATTGGGACATCCCTCCAAATCATTGGATTCAGGTGTTCCAATCACCTCCATGACCACATGTGTATAAAATCAAGCACCTAGGCATGCAGACTGCTTCTGCAAACATTTGTGAAGGAATGGGTCGCTCTCAGGAGCTCAGTGAATTCAAGCATGGTACCATGATAGGTTGCCACCTGTGCAATAAGTCCATCTGTGACATTTCCTTGCTACTAAATATTCCACTGTCAACTGTTAGTGGTATTATAACAAAGTGGAAGCAACTGAGAACAACAGCGACTCAGCCATGAAGTGGTAGGTCACGTAAAATGGCAGAGCGGGGTCAGCGCATGCTGAAGTGCACAGTGCGCAGAAGTCGCCAACTGTCTGCAGAGTCAATAGCTAAAGACCTCCAAACTTTGTGTGGCCTTCAGATTAGCACAACAACAGTGTGTATAGAGCTTCATGGAATGGGTTTCCATGGCCGAGCAGCTGCATCCAAGCCTTACATCACCAAGTGCAATGCAAAGCGTTGGATGCAGTGGTGTAAAGCATGCCATCATTGGGCTCTAAAGCAGTGGAGACATGTTCTCTGGAGTAACTAATCATGCTTCTCTCTCTAGCAATCCGATAGACGTGTGTGGGTTTGGCGGTTGCCAGGAGAACGGTACTTGCCTGACTGCATTGTGCCAAGTGTAAAGTTTGGTGGAGGGGGGATTATGGTGTGGGGTTGTTTTTCAGGGGTTGGGCTTGGCCCCTTAGTTCCAGTGAAGGGAACTCTTAAGGAATCACGATACCAAGACATTTTGGACAATTTCATGCCCCCAACTTTGTGGGAACAGTTTGGGGATGGCCCCTTCCTGTTCCAACATGACTGTTCACCAGTGCACAAAGCAAGGTCCATAAAGACATGGATGAGCGAGTTTTGGATGGAGGAACTTGACTGGCCTGCACAGATTCCTGACCTCAACCCGATAGAACACCTTTGGGATGAATTCGAGCGGAGACTGCGAGCCAGGACTTCTCGTCCGACATCAGTGCGTGACCTCCAAATGTGCTTCTGGAAGAATAGTCAAACATTCCCATAGACACACTCCTAAACCTTGTGGACAGCCTTCCCAGAAGAGTTGAAGCTGTTACAGCTGCAAAGGGTGGGCCAACCCAATATTGAATATAATAAAAACTTAGTCCTGCGCCAAAAACTGCACAATCTCAATCTAAATCTAAACTGCTGCTGTGCACATTGTGAAAACACAAACCATAAAAAATATAAAAATAAACAGCGCAAAATTAGACTTCTAAATCCACTCATAAGAAATATTGTTATAAAAAGTGTAAAAATTAATAGTACATATCCTTAATTATATTGTTATCAGACACCAAAAAGTCCATGTGTGATCAGAAAATTCCAAATAAACTTCCACCTTCCACCCGTGCAGAAACCAACATCAAATGCACTCACCAGAACTTGGTGAGTGAAAAGCCTTTAAGGACTTTTACAGGGATCCTAAACCCTCTTTCGCATTCACTGTACAGGGATCTTCAACATCCACATGGGCTCCACCGTTTTAACCAGGAAAAAAAAT